AGTGCAACAATGAATGAATGGAAATCCAAAATCTCTGTAAATGTTCATTAAAATTAATAAAATAAAATAAAAAAAAATAAAGACTAAGGTGCATCTTGAGGTTTACATTCAGGAGAAAAAGTCCCTCAATGTAAATGTTCACAGAAAGACTGAAAAACTCAGCAGGAATCAAGCTGAAAGACATTGCATTCTAACAAATCTTCAGGCATTTGGGGAGCAATGCTATACTCAGGCAATGGTCCACATCCTTCCAGGAACTGAGACACAGGAAAATAGCATAGATGCCAAAGGCCATTCCAGCCACCCCTGCTGAGTCTCAATCTCCCCCATATGGTTTTCAGCTGTGGGTCTTTCTTGGCGTCCTTCAGTCTCCCAGCCTGGCTCACCACTTCGAGTTTAAATTCAAGAGGGAAAGTCCCCCAGTATAGTGTTCACAGAAACACTGAAAAACTGACCAGGAGTCAAAATGAAAAAAAGATATCAATGTATTGCTTCAGGGGAAACTTATGGACAGGAGAAATGAACAATGCTGTATTCAGAGGGAACAATCTGGGTTCATCCTTGGTTCCTCAACGGCCTCCAGTAAAGAGAGTGGTCATACAGGGCTAGAGTGAGTATATGTTCTCAGGCTCATACTAGCTAGGTAATAACCAAACCATATGACAATAAAAGGCAAGTGGAAATGCCTGATACCAAAAGCCCCTTCATGTCTTTGACAGTGTCACAAGAAAGACAAAATAGTTTATGAAAAATAGAGATCGTTATTGTAGCCCAATTCAGCTTTAACTTAGTTTGGCTCAGAATTAGTTTTGGGGGGCATTCACAATATCCCATAGAGGGCACCTGATTTAAGGCACATTTGGTATTTACATTTGGTTTCTATATTGAAACATCAGAAAATGAATAAAGATACCAGAAAAAGAATTTATGTCTTTGAATTGTGGTGTTGGCAAAAAATACTGACTATCCCATGGCCAGCTAATGCAGATGCAACCCTGGATGTGTTATCAGTCTGTGCCAGGAAATCTGGAGGCCAGCTACCTGGCCAACTGACTGGATAAGATTTGTATTTGTTTCTAGTCCCACAAAAGGTGATCTAATATAATGTAGAAATTACTTCAAAATATTCCCGAAGGTCATGCCTAAATGGTTAGAACAGTGTATAGAGAGAGAACTGCCAGTTCACTGGGTTTAGAAGAGGCCGTGGAACCAGGGATATCACTACTGATGTCAGATGGATTTTGGCTATAAGCATAGAATATCTGAAGAATGTCTGTTTGTGTGTTTTAATGCCTATCCAAAGAGATTTAACTACGTGGTTCACAACACTATGACTAACATTGAGAAGAATGGCAATTCCAGAACATTTAGTTATGCTTCTATGAAACCTATACCTACGCCAAGAAGCTGCTGTCTGAACACAGTAAAGCAACACTGTACGGTCTGGAATTGGGGAAAGGTGTACCTCAGGGCTGTATCCTTTCACAATACCTACTCAATCTGTATGCTGAGCAAATTATTTGAGAAGCTGGACTTTATGAAGAACAGTAGGGCATCACGATTGGTAGAAGACTCATCAATAACCTGTGTTATGTAGATGATAAAATCTTGCTTGCCGAAAAGGACTTGAGGCACTTGCTGCAGAGGACCAAGGACTGTAGCCTTCAATATAGATTATATGTCAACATCAAGAAAACAAAATGCTCAGTCCATATCATGATGGGCCAAAGGGTAACATCATGATACATGGAGAAAAGCCTGAAATTGTCAATGATTTCATCTTGGTTAGATCCATAGTAACACCTTTTGTACTAGCAGTCAGGCAATCTGTGGATACATAACATTGGGAAAGTCTGCAATGATGTCAATCTAAGGAGATTCTGATTTAAGCCATAGTCTTCCCGATTACTGGCTGTGCATCTGAGAGCTGGACAAGGAGTAAGAAAATGAGAAGACTCGATATCTTTGAGTTGTGGCATTGGAGAAGAATGCTGAATATCTCATGAACTCCCAAAAGAACTAAAAGGTATGTCTTAGAGAAAGTGAAACCAAGAATGCTCCTTGGAAGTAAGGATGATAAAGTTTCATCTCACATACTTTGGGCATGTGGCTAGGAAAGGTTAATCTTTGGAAAGGGACATAAGGCTTGGAAAGGTGAGAGGGTCAGCGAAACAGGGGAAGGCCCTCAACAGCACAGTTTTACAAAGTGACTGCAGCTTAAGTATGTCAGACATGATGAGGATACATAACAACAATAGTTCTAGGGAGTTTTATTGCTAACACAAACATCCATCAACTGATGAATGGATAAACGAAAAGTGACATCTTTATAAAACAGAATATTCTGCTTTAAAAATTAACTTCTGATATATGTTACAACATGCGTGAACCTTGAAAACATGCAAAGAGCAAGTATCAGACATGATAAGATATATATTCTAAGGCTCAACTTAAAGACATATACAGAATAGGCAAAATCGAGAGACAGAAAATAGACTAATGTTTCCTTAGCACTATGAAGTGAGGAAAATTGAGAGTGACTGCTAAGGGCTTAGGATTTTCAAAAGTGTTAAGAATGTTCTGTAATTAGATAGTGGTGATGGTTGCACAACCTGTGAATATAATGAAAACCTCTAAACTGAACACCTTAAAAACATGAATTTTAGGTTACGTAGGTTATAAACTATTAAGACAATAAACTGTGGAGTTTTAGGATAAAGACCAGTTTTAAACATTACTCACTAAATGCTGTTGGGTCAAAAGTGACTCCAGTGGGTTTCTGGAGGCTATAAATCCAAGAGGGGATTGCCCATCTTTCTCTCTTGGAGGCCCTGAATTTCAACTGCCAAAGAGGCCACCTTTGGATAGGCTGGGCAACCCCCTATGGACTATGCAAACAGAGATCCTAGCCTACAAAATTTATTCCCAGCTCCCCATCCTAAAGAAATAAAATCTGTAGTAAGTCAGAAGGTATAAGAGCCAGATAATATAAATGTTGGTTTCCTGTCCACTATTGCTGATTTACTATTGAAAATGTTCAGAAAGACTTCTCTAAGAAGGTGGCAACAGTCAGAGGTCTAAAATAAATGAGAGACTGATCAATAAATAAATAATTTATAATCTGCCATTTTGCTCAGGCAAATTAGTTCTCTTATCCATATGTTCTTTTTCCTCTTTTGGTCTGGCACTATTGTTCCTTTTCCTACCTGCGATGCTCTTTCGCCCCCCCCCCCCCCCGATTAACTCCCATTCAAGCAGTTCTGGCACCAAGAGAAATGCTGAAAAATCTTTGTAATGAAGGGATGATCGGCATCCTGTAGGGTGGAGTTCAGAGGTCACTGCTTCAAGAAAATGTCCTTGCCTCGCTCCAACCTACACTTCTTACTTGCTTTTAAAACTCTCTAATTCCTTCTAGTACTTGATTCCAGTATGGATGTGGAGCATTTTTAAACGTTTGCGCTACTCCAGGCAAACTCTAGGAAGGCAAGATATATATACACACAGTACCTAGTACCCCGCCTGACACATGATTCGGTGGGCGGACTGGGGTCTTGAACTCAAAATCTGACTCCAACACAAGGTAACCTGCAAATAGGTGAGTCCGTTCTGATTTGTGTGACACCTAGGAATGCCTGGTTGAGTGACAGACTGACAGGCTCTTTCAAAGTTCCCAGCCCCACACACTTACGACCCTGTTGTAGGTCTCGGAATCATAGGACCTAGGGTTCCCAGCCCCCATCGGCGTAGTTCCAACCCCGATGCTTGACCTGTAAGTTCCGGGTGATAAGATGCAGCTTCTCCTCAGGGCTCGGAGCGTCCCCCATGGTTCCACAGCCTCTGTCTTCCTTGGTGGCCGCGGTGGGTCAGGAATCGTCACGCGGATCTAGGCAGGTTGCATCAGATGAGATCGTTGCTCGGCTTGCTATGTCTGGGCCACTCTCTGCACAGCAGTGGCTAGGAGTCAAGAGCACCGCAAAGCCGAGCGGGTCGATGGGACGTGAATGGGTGGGGCCAATCGTCAAGGTGGGCGGTACCGGGGCGGGGTTACGGCGCCTGCGCAGGGCAAGTGCGGGCCGCCACTCTCTTAAAGGCGGAGCAGTTTCCTGCCAATCTTCACTGTCTTGCTCCGGCGTTGCCCAGGCGCCTCAGGGTGGGGAGGTCGGGGAGGGGTCGATAAAATGGCGCAGGGGGCGGAGTGAGAGACCCAGTCGTTCGCCAGCCTAGGCTTCGGCCCGGCTTCTTGAGGTGAAGAGCGGGAGGGACGCGGGGTCTGTGTTCCCCAGCTGGGAGGAGGTTTGGGGCGCCTGTTGCTTCATAAGGGCGTGTGCCGTCCGCCCGGTCGGCAGGTTGGGTGGCGTTCGCTTTGCCAAGAGAAGGGCTCTTTTCTGGTTCCTGAGGTGATGGCGGCGGGGGAAGGGGGGAGGGGGCGAAGAAAACTGTTCCGCCCCACCTCCACGACGGAGGTTGTTAGGTGCCCCTCACCTTGCCGAGGAAAAGGTCTGGTTTCCTAAGCGGCTAGGAGTGCTATACGTGCTCCCTGCCCCCGAGGGTGAGAGGCATGGATATGTAGGTGGGAGGGGGATGCCTCTACCCCCGGCCACCCTCGGGGGGGGGGGGGGGAAGGGTGTTGCTAGCGAGAAGATCTCGGTCTTTCCGCGGCGCCTCGCCTGTGGGGGAGGGAGACGCTGCCCCGCCCCCCTCCCCTCCGCGTCCCCCACAGAACGGGGGTCGTGCTCCAGGCGGGGTGGGGGGCAGGGGCCTTCTGGGAGAAGGGGGATACCCCTCTGTAGCCTCGCGACGTGCTGGCTTTGCCCTGCGGTGGGTGGGAGAGGCGGAAGCCTCGCGTGTGTGCCCCGCGCTCGCGGTGGCGGGAGTTTTGGTCTCTGAGCGGGAAGTACGACGGCCTGACGCCGCGGCGCGTCCGCCGGAGCCCACCGGGAGGACTTGAGGCCTCCCGTCTCCTTAAAAGAGCTCTAATGGCGCGGGACCGAACGACTTAAAAGATCGGTAGTTCAAATCCGCCCGCCACCCCGGGCGTGGGGGGATAGTCTAGGCAGCCGTGGTGGAGGGTCACCGGGAGTCGGAAGGGGAGCCACGGCGGCGTGCGCGCCTTCTGCGTTCAGCCTGCCCCTCGAACACTTCTAGGCCTCCTTCAGCGGTTCTTCCACGGGTGGGAGGGAGCCGCTGGACGGGACCGAAGACGTGACTGAACTGGCCAGCCCAGCCTCACCTCCCGCGTCTTGGAGGCGCCAAGTGTGGCACACCAGTCTTCATAATTTTTTTTTTTTTACGATATGTTTGGTAAAAAAGAAACCCACACAAACTTTTGCAGATTCTTAGTTCCGACTTGTTCATAGGGTCGCTGTGCATCATAACTCGAGGGCACCTAACAACAATAAAGTGACGTCTTGATGAGGGGCAGAAAAAATCCCAAATCAGTAACACTTGGCCCCCATGACTATTTGGGAGCATAATTGAGGCTCCCCTGAAATGTTACCTAAAGCAGAAATTTCCTTTCCTGAGTGGGTTTTCCGTCCTCCGTTACCTCAAAGGAAGTCGCTTAATCCATATAGATGTTTTCTGTTCACTTTGTTTTTTTTTACTATTAGAACCAGATTGTAGGGTGACCTTGAGTTCCTTTTGTGCTGTGCCCCAAGTTACTGTGTGTTTCACATTTGTTACTGTTAATTGACTACACATTTAGCTTACGAGAAAGATTGGGAATCAAAGAGGAAGTTTTGTCCAATGCAAAGAATCTATGCCCTTGATGGGCACTGTCAAGGCAAGCCCTGCTGCATGGTAGGGGTTTTAGAAATTGGAAAGGTGGTATTTGGTGGTTGTACTTTTAGTGGCCTGAAGAAAATAAGGCTTTGTGCTCTAAGGCATAGGTTCTCTGAGGTAAGATAAAGATAGAAAGGGAACTAGTTTCTGAGGTTGGCAACCAGGAGGTTACAGAACAGCGAGGAGGTGGTAAACTGAAGTATGAAGAAGGGGGTGGACAGGTAGAGAGATGTGGAAGGACAGAATAGGGTCACCAAAAAGATGGGGAGGAGAGGAATTAGAAGAAGAGAAAATACTCTTTTCTTAAAATGTAGGAGTCTTCTTATTTTAAATGGTGGCAACAAAGCAAATGCCACAAAGTGCAGGTGGAATGGCGGGTACAAGTATCAAGGCTGCCTTGTGAAGTTCAATAGTGTTTTATCCCTCCCTTTGCACATGTTTTTATAAACTTCTAGCATTTAATTTTCATGATACTCTGAAGTTGTTGGTAGCCACTGCTTTGTTTCATAGTGATGCTATCTATGTCCAACAGAACAAAATACTGGTCCTCTGCCATCCATTCTCTCTATCATAGGATTTTAGCCATTGTTACAATTCCTGTGCCTGTTAGCAGTGAATCTCTCATAATCTAGTTGGAACCAAGTCCTAGCTGACACTTTATTGGATTTCCAGGGATGGTTCTGGACGAATATGCTCATTATAACTCAACTGCGGGTGGATTTGAACCACTAGAGAGGCACAACATTTGGGTTAACAGTTTAAGTCCTTAAGGACTATGTCACCAGAGGGCCCTTTACAGTGAATAGTGAATTTCTTTTCTCAGGCAACTTCAGATTTTTCAAGGAAATGGGTGAGGTCTCTGAATTGTAGTCAAGTGCTTTTTTTGGTTGTTGTTTGATGCCTTCGCCGACTCATAGCGACCCTATGAACGAACAGCCTGAGCACTGTTCGTACATAGAGTTTCCGGAAGCAAGCCATTTCAAAAGTGGATGCCGCTCCTGCTTCCAGCAAGTGCCTTTTAGTAGCCATTAATTTGCAAAGTTAGCCTGTTTCAGATATTCATCTAGTTTGGTCTTTAGTGACATTGTAGTTGAGCTCAGGGTTAAAGTTAAAGAGAATAAATAGTTCATACTGGATAGTTTCTAAAAAAGCAGGTGCTGAGAGACGTTTCCTACCACTTTATAGCGCTCTCCCCTCCTCCCATTCCTGTGCTTCTCTTTCATATACTTTTAGAGTTGGGAAGTGATGAGCGTGCAATGAAATAATAATTACCCACTGAAACCCACTACCATTGAGTCAATTCTGACTCATAGTGACCCTATTGGATATAGTAGAACTGCCCCGTAGTGTTTCCAGGGCTGTGAATCTTTTAAAAAATCACATCTTTCTGTTGAGGGGTGACTGGTGGAATTCAGCCCCTCAGTTACCAGACTGCTTCATCACTTATTTAGCACATAAAATGCTACATTTGTTATGCTCATGATCTTATTTCATAATTGCAACAACTCTATGAAATCGATACTTCATAGTCCTGGTATAGGGGACTTAATGTCATCCCACAGACTTAATTTTTTTTTATTTTAAAAAAATCATGAATACAAAATAAAAATATCATAAAACATTTCTATGAAAATTACATATTTTAGGGAGTTCTGATGGCCTAGTGGCAAGAAGCTGCACTGTAATCGCAGAGGTATGCAGTTCGAATCTACCAGATGCTCTGCTGGAGGAGGGACAATCTCCTCTTGTACTAGTCAGATCCTATTTGATGGTACACACACACACACACAAAATAATAAAATTTTTTAAAAGAAAATTACATATTTTACAAACATCTGTATCATAACTATTTTTAAGTATCCAGTTGAGTGACATTCACTCCATCACCATTATCTATTATTGTGGGTTTTTTCCTCAGTCCAATAGAAAGTTAATACCTAGCCTAAATATTTTTTATTGTCATTGAGTCAGTATTTCAAAACTCCTAACATTAAACAGCATAACTTTCTAGGGAACTTTCGAAGACAAATGGGTATTGAAATATGTTAATGTGTTGGCTTGTATCCGCTTTTTACTATTTAGCAGAGCGTCACAAAATGTCCGTGGCTAAAACCCACAACCATTTACACAGCTTACATTTCTGTATTTTGGCAGTATAGAAAGGGCCCAGCTGGATATTTCTTATCTGTTTTGGCTTCAGTCATGTTTTGACAACCAGTCATTTAAAACTGGTTGTTCTAAAGTGACTTCAGTTGGGATGGTTTATTTCACCTCTTATTTCTCATCTTCTAGTAGTGTAGCTCAGGTTCTTGTGCTGCTCAGAAAGCTGCTTTAATAGTTCAGAATAGCTGCTCTTGGCGAGCTCTGGTGGCAAGAATGTGTACTGCAATACCAGAGGTGCACGGTTCAAATCCACCAGATGCTCTGCTGGAGAAGGAGGAACAATCTCCTCCTGTACCAGTCAGATCTGATTTGATGGTACACACACACACACACACACACACACACACATAATAATAAATTAAAAAAAAAAGAATGGCTGCTCTGTCATTTATTTGCATTCACTGCTCAATCTTACTTGATGTTTTCATTCAGTTTATTCTTTTAGTATTTAAATACTTATTTATGATTCCATTTGAAGCCCTTACTCAAGGATTATCATCTACTTGTGCAATCTTTGTTTTCTAATGTTTTAACTCAAGAGTGTCAAGGGTGCTATCTATATGGTCTGCTTTCTTATTGGAACTACTTTACTATTTAAAAAATATTTTATTAACATACCAAACAAAAAATGTAAGTAAATAATGAGCTCAATTGTTGTACTAACCAGTCAGCTTTATTTTGCATTGTCATTTTATATCTTTCGTGTAAGTGTAAATTTATTTTATTATTTTTAATAAGACGTTCTGAAAAACTTGACGTTTCCAGACTTAATGAAACATTCTGTGAGAGCTTCTCAGGAGACTTAGCACTGTTCTTCTGGATGTTATGTGGTCTAGAAGTTGGTGATTATAGTGGTTGTAAAAGATACTAGTCCAATGGATGAATATAGTTCATCATCTTCAGTTTCAACTGAGTGGCTAATAATAATCTTCCATGCATTATAGTTAGGGGGCTTAAGTTCCCCTGCACACGCGCAAGGCATCAAAAGTCATCATATTTTTATTTAGTATGTTAGAAGTAGTATTGAATTTAGGAGGATGGACTTTGGATTCTAGCTCTGCCATTTGCCGTCCAACCTTGGGAAGTCAACCACCAGTGGAGTAGAAAACACATTGCTTTTGGAATCAGACCTGAATTTAAATCTTTGTTCAAAGCTTCTTAGTTGTGTTTACCTATATAAATAAGTTAACGACTTGGAACTTATTTTCCCAAGAGTGAAAAAAATCTATTGAACTTACTGTTTGGCAAATAAGTTTTTGGACTAGACCTTCTGGGAGGTCTATTAGTAGAATGTTGGCCTGAAAAGGCTTTACAAGAAATGTTGGCTGAGAAGGACATCATGGTTGGGAGGGTGGAGGGACAGGGTGGGAGAGGAAGACCCCTATAAGATGGATTGATTACATCACTGGGGTAATGGGGATAGGCATGTCAGAGACAATAAGATTGGCAAGGGATAGAGCTGGGTTTAGAGCTGTTGACAGCACGTAACAACAACAAAGTCTAATGCCTGTGATATTAATGCTTGACAATCACAGATTGATTGATTGATTTTAATTGTAAGAAACCTGTATGGGGATCCGAGGGAGTAAGGGGTGGGAGCAGCAGGGTTAGGATGGGTAGGGATGAAATCACAGGGTTGCACAATTTGGTGGATGGAGGGAATAGGTAAAGGAAATGAGTAAGAACTGGTGGAGACTGGAAAAGATAGAATAATAATGGTGGGCATAGTCCAATGGTGATTTTTTTTTAAACACAAAAAGATTGTCTTTTATTTGTGGGTTTCCCATTTGGGAATAGGAGCACAGACTAGAGGCATTGAGATGAAAGGGAAGGGATGCCCACTTTTTAATGTTTTCCTGATGGTCTTGAGTTGAAGCTGCAGACCTTCTTGTTCCATTAGATGATATTTTCATGACTGCAAGGTGTGTGCATGAGTCCATCCTGTGGGAGTGACTGGCTGAACTTAGAGACTCCAGCCACCTTTGCTTCCTTAACTGGCATTTATAATTCCTTTTTGTTTCTGGAACTGGGTTCAGGTTACTTATAGGAAAGGGAGCAAATCCAGAGAGAACATACTTGTGAGTTATAAAGAAAAGGGCTTAGATAAAGTTCTTATACACACCGGACAGCTCCCCCCACTCCCCAAAGCTCTTGCGCCCTACTGGAGACTGGCCAGGGACAGCACTTTTGGCTTTAGTGCCAACATCCTTGCCCCCTTTCTCTCTGCCAAGTGTTCTAATTGTAACTCAAAATAGATGTTAATACTTTGCCATTCCACAAATGGAGAAGGGGCTTCCAGAGGGGCGAACAGACCCGCTCAAGGTTTAAAAAGTAAAAAAGGCAGTATAACAGGGACTCAAACCAAAGTTAGCTCAAGGCAGGCCTTGAGGCAGCAAGATCCACACAAGATTTGGGTCGACTATCTTTCATCTTCCTCTGCAAGCAGAATCCTGAAAGATCATTTTCAAAATGGCCAGAAGAGTACACTCAGGCTGCGTGCGGGGCTCCTAATAGAAGAAAATTTATTTTGGAAATCTGCCTAAGTAATTCCACTCTATGAAATAACTCACACTGAACAGAAAAATTACTCTTTCTTCAAAAAGACATTTGTTTCTGTCTGTGACTGAACTGTCTTAACAGTTGCTGGGATACTGGTAAAATAAAATTTCTTTGCAGTTTTAACTTTAAATAGAACAGAAAACTTGGTTTCATTGATAAGTTTAATTTTAAGGTCCCTTCTAATTATAAAAATCGTATAATCCCTTCCCTTTTTCTTTCTCTAGTACTTATTGTGCATTTTATAGTCTCATGTTGGTGTTTAACTTTTAATATTCTCCTAGAAAAATTTACGGTCTCTTGAGTATGAGAAGCATATCTTTATTTTTTTGGAAACTGTATAAAGACATAATATCTTTTAAAAAAAAGACATTATCTAGCTCAGTATGTGATAATAGTAGCTTAAAAGAATACATAGGAGTTCATGGCCTAAAGCTAAAATAGAGGGTACAAAATTAAAGGGTTGTAGGTGGAAATATACTTAAAAGACTACAGGGAATTTTTCTAATTATTAATTAGATTATTCTAATTGTTTAAGAATATTTTTTGTAAAAAAAATATTTTTTTGTCATTTTCTAAACAGAATGACACTAAAGTTCCTTCATTCCCCTTGCAAGTTATAATAATCATTGGGTTTTGTTCAGACTGAAAGTGATGTGTGTTTGTGACTGATTTTTTTTTTCCCCCCCTTTCTATTTTGGTGCACTTTTAGACATTGTCTAGTCTACCTTCTCAATCCTTTTATTATAAATTAGGAAACTGATGTAGAAGTGATTAAGTGGCTTAACTAACTTAGAGCTGATTAGTGGCAGGACAGGACTACAACCCTGGTATTTGTACTCTCAAGTAGTCTACTAAAACAAATAGTACTGTTGAGAAAGTACAGAATTGTTGAGGAACAAAACTAGGTCCTTAGTTGCATAATTTTTTTTCTCTAAAGATTTTTCTTTGGCATTCTTGACTCAAAATCTAACTTTCTGGTATTAAAAAAAAATCAAGATCAAAATTAATAGATGGAGTGCCGTAAAGCACAATACAATTGACTTTGTAATTAACAGAGTTGAAAGTGATGAAAAGATCCGCTAATTTTCTTTGTGCTTGCAGGAAGGTGGGAGTCAATCATTTTGACAAGTCTCCTGAAAGGAATAGCTAGCAGGCGCTGAAACTTTTTTCCATTTGGTCTCGTGGCAAAGGCAGAGATTGCTCCAGCAGATCCACACAGTATGGAAGACAGTTCTTTATCCTTTTGTACTCTTAAAGCTTACTTTTTTTTATTTTATTTCAAAAGTAATACATGTTGGGTTTTTGTTTTAATACAAATTGTGAAAATCTGAGCATTTTATATACTTGTTTTACTTCTGTATCGTGGATATTAATTCCATACTAGTATATTTAGATCTAGTTCATTATGTTTTAAAGCAGTTATATGGCATATAACTTTACTATTTTCATGGCAATGGACAGATTTACATTGTTTTTGTACATCCTTCTGTTATTTATATGTTTATGTGCATTAAGTGTCGCATAAATTTTGGTCAGATAAAATATCTTAAAATTATTTCTTAAACTGTTAAGTCACAGTGCTTAGGAGTAGCCTAGTAGTTCAGTATTTTGCTGACAATCCAAGGGAAAGTGATTCGAATGCAACAACTACTCTGAGGGACAAAGATGGGCAGTCTCCTCTGCTGTAATTTACAGCCTCTGAAAACCCACTGGAGGGTTAGTTCTACTCCACCTCATCAGTAATGAGTTGTTTTTTTCAGTTGATAAGTCACAGCACAAAAGATTTTAATTATTTGGATACCACCCTTTATAGAATAGGTTGGAGTTGGTATAAATGTCTTTCCTGTTCTTAGTGAAACTGCCTCTTTTTTTCTCCAGATATGACGTGCTCACTGGTGTTCTCTGAACAGCCTTCTGGTACCTTTTCTTGGGGCTCCTTAGATGAGGATGAATTGGATGACTCGTTGCTGGAACTATCTGATGGAGAGGAAGATGATGGCCATTTCAGTTGCACGGAGGAAGAGATTCAGGAGCTATTGAAGGATGATGACCTACCAAATGAACCCTTTTCTAGGGGAGACAGATTGCTTAAAGATAACATTGGGCATGTTGAGAAGGTAGAGAAGGAGGGTCAAAATCTGCTTCATGCTCCCCAAGAGAAAAATTCATTGTATAGTTTGGAACCAATAGCTGAGACCTCTGGCCTCTTCAAACTACCTCAGCCAGATACATCAGTTAGTCATGGACCAAATCCTACTAAACCATTAAACAGAAGCTTTGCACTAGAAAAGAATGTCATAAAAATAACTGTTGTTGCACCATTTGATCCAACAGTTTGTGATCCTGTGCTTGATAACGACAAAATTGACTCACCCAGAGATAACAAAAAACCTTCCTCCCTTGGGGAAGAATTGAGAGAAGATGGTTTTAGCTCAGATGAGAACATGATTTGCACTGAATCTGAAAGAATCAATCCTGCTAACTCTGCCTGGGATGGGCCCACATTCTCTTCTCCTTCAAATAATAACTTTGAAGAAACTGCCTCTGCTAGAAATACATCTGACAGTAAGGAGACTACACCTCTATTCTCTCAGGTCTTGGACCATTCAGAGAATCCTAATGCAGAGTCATCCTGGACAAACGGTGGATTGCATAAATCAAATAGTGAAATGAAATTTCCTGTTGTTTCCAGCAAAGTAAGTGCATTTTTTCAAAGGGAAGAGAAAAATTTCTTTTCATTTAGATACAGTATGGCAAGATGAGTTGAGGTGGAAATTTTAATTAGCAGTGTGACCCTGTGAAAATTATTTAGCCTCTCTCTTCCTCTCCTTAGCTATAAATAAAATATTGTACTCATTATTATGTATCTGGTACATAATATTAAAATACCATTTAGTGAGTAATTACTACGTTTCCTTAATATTTGGTCTCAAATTTTGGTTGCCATGTTGTAGTAGTTAATTGCACTAGTTCTCAGTAACTGAAGACTTGGAAAAATGTTGGATAGTTTGGGCTTGATACCTTGGCTGTCAAACGTGTATGATAATCCCTGTGCTTGAAGATTGTTTTTTTAAGGTGATAGCCACTTTGTCAGAGCATCCACCATTATGTGTAGTATACAGTGTTCAAGGATATGTGTCCATAACCTTTAGTTCAAGAATATATCTATAACTATTGATGATTTTTACCAATTAATATACTGAAAGCCATCTTTCTGCTTTGAAAATAAAAGGAGGATGTTCCTAACAAGGATTCTGGGAAGATCGAAGTCCAAGAAAGAAGACTAGGAAAAGTCATTCCTTTTCTGCAAAACAAATCAAGGTAACATAAAAATATAATTAAATATTCTCATTTGTGTTGATTCTATTCAGTTTTTTATTTTTTGTTCTTTGATTGTTGGAATTTTTTTTTTTTACCTTCTGTCCCTAGTTTCCTTTTCGTGAAGACTCTAAAATCTTGAAGTCTTAGCATTCTGAATAACTAGCTGTGTGACCTTGGGCAAGTCGAATAATCTCTGACCTCTGTTTTTTCATTGATAAAATGACACTAATGATTAGTACTCTTTTGCTTCATGGAATTATTTGGGGGGAAAAAAGACATATTAGTGAAAAGTGTATAAATGTGAATTTTCTTCAGCATGAGAAAGTCTAGTCACAGACATAATAGGTTAGAATAATTTTAACCAAAAGAACTTGGGCTGTAACTGGGTAGAACATCATTTCATCCTTACAACATACATACAGCTGTCCTTGGGGAAATTCTAGTAGGGGTTGCAGATTTGAGTCCCCTTTCTGATCTGTTCTCTTGTTGCCAGGAGATGGCAGTATCTCTGCATGGGTATTTTTAATTGCTTTTAGGAAGGCTGCTTTTAGGTTGTGTCCAATTACCTCAGAAGTTTTTTTATTTTTAAATATTGGTTACCCAGTTTCTATATTCTGTTTATCAAAGTTTTCAATACTACAAATGTTTTAAAATAAAGTAATACAAATGTGGCTAAAATCCTTTGAAAATCCCAATCAAAGTGGGTTTTTTAGTAATTTTTTACACAATTTAGAGAAATTTTGTTAATTGTTTACAGTGGAAACTATACCAAAAGAACAACAAATCAAACTACTTGAAGTAATAACAAATTTACTCTCTTTATTTTCTCACTTATTGACTCTTTAGCATAGTGAAATGACAGTATGAACAAAGGCCAGAAATTGCTCTTACTGCCATAATTACCACAAATAACTGGTCTTTTTCGATCTTTATCTCATTAACTTGTCTCTAGCTTTGTGAAGGTTGTCATTTCCTGGTTAAGCTTGAATTGCCCAACTAATGCCTTCTATTCTCTAGGGAATAGACAGTCTTCACTTTTTATACCTGGCTTCTAGGAAGTTATAGCTATTTTTTCTCTTTCTCTCAACTCCATATTTGATTTCAGCTTCATGTTACATGTCAGTGGCTTTAAAAGAAAATTTTTCTCTGAAAGTTAATTGCTCTAATAGCAGAGTTTGACTTCTTTCTGTGAAGCTCTGTTCACATGGTTCTAATGGACATTTTTCTTCTCATTTGCTTTGTTCAAGGACTAACGTTCCAACGTTTTCACAGTCCGAGCTAGAGCAACAGAAGCAAATTTATCTCAGGAATGTTATTGCTCATATAGAAGACCCTGTGGAGTCTAACCAAGGTAACATAACATTAAAAAAAAAAAAGGTAACATAACATGATAACTAAAGAATGTCATGTAAAAGATAGCAGACTCTTTCTTTCTAGTATAATACATCTTCAGCTGAAAGATTATTTCTTTTAGAAGTTTCCTAAAATTGATAGGAAAGATAACTTCCTTACACAGAGAATATCACTTTAAGGTATTTCCTAGTTATATAACCCCTTCAGCTAGCCAGTGTTCTAGAGAGGTTCAAGACTCATGAGAGTGCCTTCCTTTTGGTTGAGGGATATAACCCACATCTACACTTGTGAGAGATATGTTTGTCAGAAAAACTTAAGTAGATGACCCAGTACTGCTTCATAATTATTAGTTTCATATTTGAATTTGCTTTTCCCCATGTTACATCAGCATTTAGAGTAGAACAGGCAGAAACACTGCCAAGTCCTGCACTAACTAGCCTTGCAGGTGTTGCTATATTTCAGTCCAGTGTTGCAGCCACAGTAGCAATGCATCTGATTGAGGGTTTTCTTCTTTTTAGCTGACCCTCCACTTTACCAAACATTCTTCTTTAGGGACTGATCCCTTTTGTTGTTTTTTTTTTTCTATAATTATATTTTATTAATTTTCATAAA